CCCCCCCCCCCCCGGCCATAACGGTCAAAATTGTGACCGTTTTGACCGTTTTGCCCCTAAAAACGGTAAAAAAAAAAAAGGATATTTTGATCGTTTGTCTAGGGGGTTGCCTCTATAAATAGAAAGAAATTTTATTTGTTTTCCTCATCCAAAACTCATCTACGTCTCTCTTATACACTCTTATACTCTCTAATAATCTCTTTACCTCTCTAATTCTTCAATCAAATGGCTTTCAAACTTGATTATGAAGAGCAAAACCTCACTCCCGAAATAAGTCCTCCTACTACCGCTACTCCTACATATCCTACCAATATTGATCCTAATTCAGGTGGTGATGATTCTACACCAAGAGCTCCTAAAAGGCCGAGATCCGACGTGTGAAATTTTTTTGAGAAGATAGACGTCACCAAGGATGAACACGGTAGGGTCCTCACCCAGAATGCTAAGTGTACGTTGTGCAGCAAGATTTTTCAAGCTCATCATAAGAGCGGCACCAACCACCTCAAACGTCATTTAGATAAACACAACAAGGGCCAGACGCCTCAAGGTGATATCCAACAATCTATTTTCTCACAATCCTCATCTTCAGATAGTTTCGGTAGTTGGAATTATGACGCAGCTCGTGCCAGGAAATACGTCATTAGGTTTATCATTCTTAAGAATCTTCCTTTTAAATTAGTAGAAGATGATGAATTTGAAGATTTATTTATAGATGGTTTTTACGCAGCATTTAAAAAAAATTCTCGTCAAACTTGTCAACGTGATATTCTAAAACATTATCAGGAGGAATAAAGAAAAAATCATTTCTTATTTTCAAAGTTTAAACTATAAATTTTCTTTAACTTCTGATATTTGGACATCTAAAGAACAAACTGGTTATTTATGTATTACATCACACTTGATTGATGAAAATTGGTAAATATTTAAAAGAGTTATTTCCTTTATTACAATTTAAAGAGTCACATACTGGTATTAATGTTACAAATTTAATAATTGAAGAACTTTTAAAATTAAAAATTTTAGGAATAATATTTTCTCTTTCACTAGATAATGCAAGTAATAATAATGTAGCTGTTGATTTTATCAAACAATCTCTGTCATTGTCATATCATGGTGATCTTTTTCATATTAGATGTATCTGTTGTTGATTTTATCAAACAATCTCTGTCATTGTCATATCATGGTGATCTTTTTCATATTAGATGTATCTGTCATATTTTAAATTTAATTGTTCAAAGTTTTTCATATTAGATGTATCTGTCATATTTTAAATTTAATTGTTCAAAGTGCATTTACTAAAATTAAACTCATGATAAAAAAGGTTATGATGGTAACTTATATGCATAATGCTTCTGAACAAAAAATTAGAAGATGGAAACAATTCTGTAAAAGAAAAAAAATATAAAACCCAAACTGATTCTAAAAGATGTTGACCATAGGTGGAATTTCACCTATGTAATTTTAAGTGTAGCAATAGAATATAAAAAAAATTATAAATAATTTTATTGTTTCTTATGCTTCTAGTTCTAGCTCTGATAGCATGTATGGAATTACTGAAGATGAACAGACAGTTATAAGTAATTTAAAAGAGATGCTATAAGTTTTTTATGATACTATAATGTTATTAGCTAGTTGTTATTATCCAATCATTACTTTAGCTTCTTTACAAATTTTAAATATTCAATTTATTTAAATAAATATCGTATGGATGATTATTTTGGAAGTATGATTTTTTAAATGGAAAGTAAATTTAATAAGTATTTTAGGTCTATTCCTATTATTTTTTGTTTGGGGGTTCTTATTGATCCGCAATTGAATGATATTGGCCTTCGAAGTTTATTACATTCCTTGAATGGTGGACAAATAATAGACACTGATGATGGTAGCACCATTACTGCTACTATTCATCATAATATTATTAGAAATTATTTTCAAAGCTTATATGATGAGTATGCAACTAAATATGGTGTAGCTGTTGGACCCTAGAGGGGGGGGGGGGGGATTAGGGTCTTAAGCTAATCTAATCCGATTTTATGTAAATTAAAACTAATACAAATATATTCTTACAAGATAGATATACAAGAGTTATAAGCAATAATAAACAATATAAATAAAGAGATATATCCTAGCAAAGAGGTAATATATGCAAGGATATATAAACTAACACAAGGGTGAAATAAACATAAACAAGATAAGAGTGATAGTGTAAATAAACAATGCAAACACACAATATGATCACGGAGTTCGGACCTTTCGTCCTACGTCTCCGCTCCCCACTCCCGGGGAGAAATCCACTACCACAACCGGGTTTTTTATGCTCACCCGAATAACGTTTATACCTCATAGTATCGGTTTTCAACGGTCACCGATCAACGTCTACACTCCACACCTCACAATACGGTTTTCTAGCTAACCGAAAACTCTACAATATTCTTAAATAACAACAAATGATTTGTTCTCTAATACAAAGCGAGAACTCAATTAAAGCACACATTCAATTGTTACAACTCTCACCAACCCAAATATACTATGTATGAAAATACAATAAGCTCAAGTGGGTGTGTGTAAACAATGAGTGAAATAAGATCTAACGCAATTAGCAAACTAGCAATAATAAGAATATGAAAATCAATAATAAAATTGCTAGAGAAAAGAGTAAGAAAAATTTCTATATAAACACGAAGGAGAGGATGAAAAAGATTGAGGATAAATCCCTCAATTGACAACGTAAGCTTCTTCCTTTGTAAACAAAGCCCCCAAACTTAAAACAAACTAAACAAACTTTTAATCTTTTTTAAAATTTGTTTAAATTAAACTCTCTCTTGGTTATAGAAAATAGTTATGGCAAAGGGATATATATAGGATAGAAGAAAACAACTCAAAAAATCCTAAAAAAATAAAGAAATAGATGTTACTATTACTGTGAAATGGGCGAATGCTACAGTAACATCGGTCGATCGTACTGTAGCACGGTCGACCACACTGTTCACGGACAGTTTCTGATTTTGACAGTTTTTGGAAATTTGCATATCTAACTTTGTAAAATTAATTTAAAATAGTAAATCAACTCTAAAAATTATGATATTTTGAGAAAAGGTTTTATACATGTAGATAAACATGTTAGAGAAAGAATTTCTAAAATATCACTTTCCAGTTGAGAGAAATAAATATTTGAACACAGATATACTGTTACTGAAAAAACTGATGAAAACTCAGTTTTGTAAATTCAATTAAAAATAACAAAACAACTCCAAAATTAGTAAAACTTGGGGAAATATTTATATATATGAATATAAACATGTAAACAAAGAAATTTTTGAAATCGTATTTCTCAATTGTGAAAACGTATCTGTTTTGCAAAAACATGCACGAACATGTGCACGAACATGAGCTTATTAAAAACTTAATTTTGTAAATTCAAATAATCATAACAAATTAATTCCAAAACTGATAAAACATTGGAAAAAATTTATAAACATGAAATTGAACATGTTAGAAAAAGAATTTCTCAAATTGAATTCCTCATTTGTGAAAACTCATGTATTTTGCAAGTGTGTCCAAAACATGAAAATGTGATATACATAAAATTTAATGTTTTGACATAAACAATGTTTTGAAACCCTATGAAATAATTTTATAGACTTAATGAAATATGTATACAATGATTGTTAAATCCATAAACCAAAACTTGTGTATATATATAACTATATATATAAAAACCAAATATGTGTGTGTATATATGATTGAGCTTAAAGTACTAACACACATAATATAAAACATAAACTAAATATACCCAAGCTTGATTGATCTTCGATGTAGCTCAACTTGGTACATTTGCGGATGAATCTAGAACTTGGATCTTTAATTTGAATTACATAGGCTTCACTCCACAATTCCGCCAACCTTCATTGGATATGATCGTGAATGCGCAATTCCATCCATCCTCCAACGCGTTGTTTGTCTACAATAAATAGAAAATGCGCAATTCCATCCATCCTCCAACGCGTTGTTTGTCTACAATAAATAGAAAACCACAAACACTAGACAAACAATATTAGTAGTAAATATAAATAGAAAACCACAAACACTAGACAAACAATATTAGTAGTAAATTGTTTGTTAAACATCATCAAAATAAAGAGGCTAACAGTAGCTACACAACAGTCTACAGGTTTGAATTCTTCGATCACAAGTCGGGGTAAAAGTGTAAGTTTTGATAGGTATGTAATAGTAGCTGAGCTAACTGGTGGATCTGGACTTAGATCATCATTGGAGGTTTCTAAAATTGATCAATATTTAACTGCTTCTTTAGTTAAATGTCAAAATAATAATTTAGATATTTTATAATGGTGGAAAGTACATATGAAACAGTTTCATATTCTATACTTTCTATCATGATTCGTGACTTACTAATAGTCCAAGTTTCAACGGTAGCTTCAGAATCTGCATTCAGCACAGTAGGACGTTTGATCGACAACCACAGGACATCATTAGATCCGTATACTGTATAGGCGGTGACATGCTTACAAGATTGGTGGAGCTACGAGAAGAGAACGCAAGGCATCGATCGAATAGCTGGTATTGAAGATAAATTTGAAGAGTTGGGACTAGCTGATAGATATAAAGAGTAAACAATATTCATCAAATTGTAATTTTTATTTCTTAGCTAAAATTTTGTAATGAATTAGTTTGGAAACAACAAATGATAGTGATATAGGTCAGTAGGTGTTAACCTAGTTGGGATGTACTCATCTATTGTAATGCAACGAATTTCGAAAAAAAATTATACTTGTAAAGGATTTACTGATTATTAATAAAGAAGTTATTTTTATCATCTGTTATTTTTAAAGTTTTTTGTATTTGTAATTTATATAATTTCAAGTGATTAATAATATTATTGTTTTTATTAAAATTTTTTGTAAACTTTTTATGTAGTATTAAAATTTTAAAGAGATAAAAAAATTGAAAAAAATCCGAGCCGGCCTAGGGCCCGGCCCGCTCAGGCCGTCCAACCGGGGTTTCGATTTTACCCCTCCCGGGTCCGGTTTTTCGGGCCGGACCGGGCCGGGCCGGCCCGGGACACCCCTAGCCGTGTATCCCATAGAAAACCATATAGGGAAGGACTCTATGACATATATCCTACTTCATATTTAAACCAGTGCAATCACAATAAAGTGTAAGTACAATCAGTTTAGAACGAAGTGCAATCACTAAATGGTAGTATAAATAATTATTATATAATCAGAATATCGAACCTTAGGATGCCTTATCTGATTTTCTGTACGTAGAAAGTTCTCTACATCACCTTACTCTGAAGTATG